GCCACACCTTGTCTTTCTTATGTATGTAGACTGCATATGTTCCTGCTTGGGGGCTCAGAACTGGTACCTCAAGTAGGGCCTGTTTCAAATAACTGAATGCATGTAGAGTTTCTGTCTATCATATGATGAGGTGAACTCCTGATGCCTAGATATCCAGTATGGATATAAGAGAGGACCACATCTCCCTACCCAGTTACTGATTGCTGCCAGAATCCATGATACTCAGAAGCCACTATACCTATACTGTTTGAGGTTTTGGGGAAAAGTAAAAGAGGAAGAATGCCCAATACTGTCTTTGCTCTGTGTTCCAGACCATCTAATGAAATGAGCTCAGTATTTTGTCTGAAGTCTGATAAAATTAAACTTTAGATTTTCTTTTACTTTAGAGATTAAAATGTAATTACATAATTTCCCCTCCCCCTTCACTTCCCAGTACCACTCCTTGCTCTCATTCAAGTTCCTTTTCATTAGTCTTGCATGCATCCATGTATACTCATATCCGAAATACATAAATATACTGTACTGATTGTGTATAAAATTTACATGTATGTATGTTTTCAGGCTGACTCTATGGTATCAGATAGGTCTTTGTGTTTTCCCACTTTAGGAAGATATTTCTCCTGGACCTATGAGTTACCTGTAGTTCTTTGTGTAGGGTTAAACCCTTGTAGGCTTTCACCTACCTAGTTTGGAGTGTCATTGTTATCCTCAACCAACTCATGTCTAGACAATCATTTAGTGGGAGTTAACAAATGCAGCCTCTGACATTCCTAGGAAACACAGTCTCACAGCAAACCTCCTGTTTCTCTGAATTTGCAATCACTCAGCTGCCTCCTCCAACATGATCACTGAGCTTTAGGTGAGGGAATTGTTTTGTATATATGTTAGTTGGGAATAATCTCCACCACCTTGCAATTTATCCAGTTGTGGTTTTCAATATATTCTCCATATGTTGCAAAGAGAATTTCACTGGGTGAGCATTGAAGACTACACTGTTGTTATGTTTTAGGACAAGTATCTATAGGTAGGTAGTGTGATTCTTTAGTAAAGTGTTGATTAAAGGATCTGTCCCAGATCCAGTAATTCCCTACTCCTATTTATTTGTCTAGGCATGAGTCTTTCACTAGGCATGACTTCCTCATTGTTGCTTTGAAGTGTTATGATGGCTTTCTGCTGGAAAATTAAGGGAACTCTTCCTACATTCCTGAGAGAATTCCCCAGTGGATGCAAATATATGTTAGTTGGGAATAATCTCCACCACCTTGCAAATTATCCAGTTGTGGTTTTCAATATATTCTCCATATGTTGCAAAGAGAATTTCACTGGGTGAGCATTGAAGACTACACTGTTGTTATGTTTTAGGACAAGTATCTATAGGTAGGTAGTGTGATTCTTTAGTAAAGTATTGATTAAAGGATCTGTCACAAATCCAGTAATTCCCTACTATTTATTTGTCTAGGCATAAGTCTTTCACTAGGCATGAGTTCCTCATTGTTGCTTTGAAGTGTTATGATGGCTTTGGCTAGAAAGTTAAGGGAACTCTTCCTACATTTTGCATCTCCAGTGGATGCAAAAAATGAATGTATCCTCCATGTATTGGAAGAGACTAACATATGAGTCAGAGTATCAAGATATGTCCCTTAATACTGTCTCTCCATAGTGATGGCTATCTAGAAACCCATGGGGGTATATAGTCCAGATGAATTGACTGGTCTATTTTGAGTGTTCCCAAAAGCAGACACAGAAAAATCCAAGGTGCAAGGTCATACAGGACAAGGCATCTTTTAAAGATGACTGTGAACTATTTGGTTTCCTAAGTGAAGTAGTGCTAACAAATGATAGAAATTGGGGCTACAAGATAGATACAGATCATGGTACAGTTAACAAAGATGGCATGTACTGACCTCTATTCCTCATCAGTTTTTTCAACCCTGGATATAGGGTGTTACAGAGACTGCTGCATGATTTTGTGATGCTGTAACAGTACCCTCTCTATGATTATTTCAATCCATTAAAAGTTTCAAATATTAGAAGATACTTTCTTATCGTCTTCCTTTTTACCTATCTTCTCTGGG